GCTGGTTTGTTTGTGTTAAAGTATTGTTTGTAGCTGCATTCGTCTGTATAAGCAGGTTTCAATCTATCAGTTGAGATGGTTTCATGACGGTCGCCCATGTCAATGGTGAAGAACTTCGACTTTCGGCTGAGGACCTTGAACGGACCTTGGTATGGCTGTTCAAGTGGCTTCTTTGTTCTATCGATGCGAACAAAAACATGAGTGCAGGTGTCAAGGTCGGGGCTGATGAAGGAAGGGCGGTTCTTAATCTCTCGTTGTGCACATGGGCGAAGTTGTCGTAAATGTTGTCTGAGACGGTGAGCATAGTTTGTAAAATCCTGGGCACACGTGGGCACATCAGGTGACGTGTTGTGAAGAAATTCGCCAGGTAGACGTAGCGTAGTGCCGTAGACAAGCTCAGCAGTAGAGACCCCAATGTCCACTTTGAGCGTGGAACGAATTCCTAGTAGAACAATGGGTAGCGCTTCAGTCCAGGGGATGAAGCTGTGAGCACGCAGTGATAATTTTAGTTGGCGGTGAAATCGTTCAACCATTCCGTTTGCGGCGGGATGGTACGCCGTTGTGCGAAGGCGTTTGATGCCAAGGAGTCGCATCCGTTCAGCAAAAAGGTACGACTCGAACTGTCGTCCGCGGTCCGTAGTGACTATTGATGGTACTCCAAAACGGGCAATCCACCCTGTGACGAAAGCTTGAGCAACTGTTGCAGCTGTCTACAACATATCACAGCTGTCTACAACATAGAATGACTACAACATATCACGTCCGGGTCAACACTTGGTGTGACTCAATATTATATATATCACAATTTAATCGTGGAGACGGCAGTGAGCGTTGTAGTCATTCTAAACCCGTGTCTCCTCGTGATAATCGTTGTCCCGAGGGCTAGAGGAAGACGTTTTCTTCTTCTTCCGCAGCCACCACAATATGAATGCGACTTAATCGCATCGAATGCAGTTGTCGTATTCAATGCGGTCATGTAAACGGCATAATGCGCTAAAAAAGCGCATAGCATTTAGGTCGCTAGACAGGTGGATCGGGACGACGAGTCCGCATTCATTTAGCCCATGTAAACGGAGGTCACATCGCATTTTCGAACGGGGAGGATTATGGGAAGGCGCTTGCTGAGGGAGCGAGTGAACAGCTGAGAACATGGCGGCGGCCAACCTGCTCGGTGGCGCGAAAAGGGGTCCTGTGTGGTCGCCCGCAGTTTTCTTCCGAGAAGAAACGAGACCTTTTATTGCCATCATAAGTGAGCGGAATATAGCTGGGCTGCTCGGTGAGGGTGGCCTCCATTCAAGCCTTGCGAATTACGACTTGCGTGTCCGAGGGGGTCTCTAAAGGCTTCGGCGAAAGCACGAACGACGCCGAGAGTTCCGAACACTGCACGGTAGAGCAGAAGGAGCAGCTCCTTCCTCGGTGCCGTTCTCGGGCCTCGGGCCTCGGTGTCCGGTTGATCCAGTCGCGGTCGGCGAGGTTTGGCGAGGCAAAGCGCGGTGGCGTCTTCAGGGCGTTTGCGATCTTGCTCGCCAGGGCGTGCGCACACACGTCGCCTCTGGTTCAGAGTGGCCCGGCGGCACGGCCTGGAGCCCTGAACTCTTGGGTTTTGATGTTTCTTCCGTCTCGTGACTTCTTCCACAGCCCTGAAGCAGGGGCGGATCCAGACCTCCATTATCGTTTTTACTAAACTCTGATAACATAATATTGATCTTGAGAGCTTTTTTATCGGTTTACCTGTCGTGGATGAACTCTTTGAATTAAAACCTTTCGGGTGACCACGCTAGAGGTATCTAGAAAATTATGGTGGTACTATCCTTTCTGAAACTTGAGTATCAGACCGACACTACGTGAGCAGTCGATTTAGGGCAGCTTAAAAACATTGCCTTGGCAGACATTCTGGTTGAAGCTAGTGCTCAACTGCTGCGGCAACGGGAATAGTGGCTTAAATCAATGGAGCAAGTACGTTGCAAACAAGCGACAAAAATGACCCGGCGGCTTCGACGCTGCTCGCGGCGTCAAAACACTGTTGACGCAGTGAGCGAAACGAACGCTGCCAGGCAAGTTCGTCGGTTGTTCGCCGTATATTTCGAATGTCCAGAGCGCAGCACATGCGGCATTGCCAACCCAAACTCGTGTTTTCACGTGTTCTGGATGCAACTCGAGAGAACGAAAGCGAATAATTGTTGAATATTTTTGAAAGCATGTTGCAGTTCGGCAACTATAACTTTTAAACTTAAACAAGACCTTAAACCAGCAATGGATCCTTCCAAATTATATTCAATTGCACTTCGTCTGGCTATTTTCTGTATGAAAGGAACACTTGTTTCTGGGTAGTTAGCTCATTCGTCAGGGTCGAGAGGACAGGTGCAGAGATATGATGGGGCAGAACGGTTGTCCGGTCGGCGAATCTCAACTGGACTAAAGGCCGATCACGACTGCAGCATGGGTGTTTGGGAGTCGGTGTTCACTCGAACGAGCACAGGCACTGTCTATTTAATTTATGTATAGTCGCATCTTTGAAAGGGCTCGTTTTCCCCAAGTCCCTAGGTAGGGAATTCGAAGCCGCAGTTGGAAACCAGCAAGCCCCGCCTCTGTTCCGTTCGATACACACATATTCGCTCCTGCAAAGCCGCGCGAAAGCTCTGCCTTCAACCCACAGAAGCCGCGTTTAACTCGAAAATAAAGACGGCGCCAAATGGAGACAAGGAGTAGTGGGCGCCTTTCCTAAAATATGTCCCGCCACCCTATGTTGAAACGGCATTGTATACAAATAAATGCCTACGGCGTCGGCTTGAGGACCCCGTGTAAGCAGTCTCCAGCCTTTAGAGTGTTCCTACCGTTTATCTTTCTTTTATTAGCTTCCCGCCATGAGAAGTCGTACCGCAGGCAGTATGAAGCCCATTAGAGGAAACATCTCCCCCTTCTGGCGCTCGTCGGCTTCTTTCTGTATTCCGCGCTGCGGCGCTGATCCTCAGTGAGGGATGGAGGCGAGGACGAAAGCGGGCTTATGTTTAAGCCAAGGTCGTGGGGAAGTACGGAGCGTCTTCAGGAGAAGGTCAGACCCGGACTACACTGTACCCAGAGCATTTGCTTCCTCTCTCAGTGGTTGTACAAGCTGCATCCTGCGTCGATTGCTTACGTTTTTTCTCGGGCTGACGAAGAACCCCCGGGGGGGGGGGTTGCCTGGCGAGGCGTTTGGGGGGGGGGGGGGCGATCGCCCCCACCGCCCCCCCCCCCCCCCCCCCCCTTGGATCCGCCACTGCCCTGAAGACAGCGGGCACTATCTTTACGCTCGCTGGAAGCGTGGAAAGGCCCCAAGATACGATGGACCGGAAAACGTGGTCACGTGGTGCGGCTGGTGCCGGAAACGCAGCTTTAATTTTTAGTTTTGACACAGCGTGGCGTTACCGTCGCGTAGGGCTTGATGCGCATTCATGTTAACGTTGCCGCGTCGGCTTCGTTCGAAGAACGATGGGAGTCGATGAGCTGAAGCCGCATTCATGTAAACACGGCTAAAGACTCGGTGTTCTTTATACCACCAGCAATTCCCTCAACCAAACAAAAAAGGAACAAGAAGTTCGCTTTTAACTTCTCTTTAAAGAGCAACTGTTTCTGGAAAATTGCAGTGGGATACATCGAACCCTAATAGTATCGCGATACCAGGAATATGCCCTAAAATGTATTTTATTACTGAAATACAAAATACAATTGAAAAAATGCATCGGGATAAAAAATATAAAATAAAATATGTTTATAAAATACTATCGCAACACATATGTATCGCGCTACTCTCCAGGCCTGAACGCAACGCGTTTGGAAAGATGATGCATTTGTAGTACTATTCTGACATTTAACGCTGAATCCTTGCTGAGATCTCAAAAGAGTTCTTCGTTTTTTTAGAGTGAAAAACTCCAAAACTTATATTCTATAGAATATTTATAGGAAAACGTGCCAAACCTTTTCTGTGAAAAGTACCCATCGCACAGAAAAAAAGGTTGATGTTGATTCGTTCTCTGCCAAAGGGCCTGTCTAGAAACATTAACAGCACTCTGTAGAGTTAGGTCAACAATTACCCTTTAATAATTAACTCTTTTATTACCAAATTTAAACGCATGGTTTCCATTAAACATTTTCTGGACATCATCGGAAACTACTAAATCCACCCATCTAAATTCTACAGATATAACTTAAGGCATCCGCAAAATTTTACGTCGCACTGGAAAAGAAAAGCACACTAAATTTTGACGCGTTTTGAAGTTTCGGTTTCCCATCAAAACGCACCTCCGGTCCATCAGTGCTGCTCCCCCGTGGCCACAGCGCTCAACTAACGTGCGCCGCTACGCATTCTTCGAATGGCAGAGCTGAGCCCAAGGGTCAAAGCTTATTCTTACAATCTCATTCGAACAGCACATCGTCTCATTTCACCGGCTCGCCCAACACTTTTACGTTTTCTCGTACTAGGGAGGCGAGGCGATGGTTGCGCGCCTTGTCCACGGAGGACAGGACCGGTAGCGAGGTTGTGCGCTCCGATAGGGAACCGAAATCTAGAAACGCGGACAAATCGAGTGTTTTTCTGACCGCCATAAAACGATGCGTGTTGCTTATTTTTCTGTGAAGTGCACAGATTTGGTGGTTTTCAATGATGACCCGAAAGTTTCTAGTTGAAATCGTGTCTTTAAATTTTGTAATAAAAGAATCAATGACAAAATAGGAATTATTAATTTAAAGATACCGAACGTTATTAATTTTCGCAAACTGGCCCTTTGGCAAAGGTCACTACGACATAAATAAAATTTTCTTTGGGAAGCGTACTTTTCGCAGGAACGATTTGGCTTGCGTTTCGAAAAACATCCTTATATTTTTATCAGTGGTTTGAATCCTGATTTGTTTTCTGTACCAGTGATAATACAATTCCTCCCCCCTTACCTTTCTCCAGTCTTACGTTAGTTTAGACAATAGCAATGCAAAAAAAAAAAAAAAACAGGTGGACAGACACACACACACACATGAGCATTTGCCTTTATTTTTCAAACAAAATAAATGCAGGCTTGCAGTTCCATGCTCAGGTTGTGGATTAGGAAACACCTGTAAGATAATTGATGTGCAACAATTATTGGATGACAAAGAGTCAAGAAATACACTATAGAGAGCCTTGGAAGCACCCAGAAATTAGTCTGTTGGGGTTGCTTAAAGCAAACCATATTAGCTGAAAATATCATTGTAAATTGTTCGTCCTGCTTTCTAAAAAAAATAAACAGACATTCCGCTAAAACTAAATACTAAAACAAGTAAAAGAAAATACAAGGTAAATCACCTTATATTAGTGAAGATTAATGGAACACCAGAGGTGGGAACATCGTTAACAACAGCCAAGAAACGAAAGGGTACATTTTAAACATGAAAGATGGTCCTACACTGAAAACTATATTGCGGAAGGAATATCTTTTGCAATTCATGCTTTATAAAGACAAATTCTTTAATACTCACAGGTTGTAATAGGTTCGCACGGAGCTCGCACACACTGAATTCTTGCGGATACACACCGGGTTCCAATAGGACAAATGTGGTTCTGGAAGGACATCAACAAACGTAACTCATAAGCATTTTGAATCTAAAATTTTGTTTTTGTTTAATGAAAGCCCGAGCGTTCCGTCAGGCTTCCCCAGCCACTTTTTGAGTTGCTGAAAATTAGACATCAGTGCTTATTCCCCGACATTTGCCAATAAAATGTTCATGCTCTTTTTGAGATGCGGAACCAACTTCGCATAGTGGATTCTCTCAGGCGATTAGTTATAGATGTGTAAGCGTTGCTTATTCAGCATAATTGTTTGTGCACTTCGTGTCCCCTTTTTTTAACACCACCCATGTATTGTGCAAACAAACTCTTTAGTGTGTTCATGACGAATTTTTAGCTAGTGAAAGGTGCGTCATGTTAATTTTCTAAGGGGTGTTTTCACATCAGGTCGAACAATTATGGTCCGGGTCATAGTTATGATATTTATGTAAAACGTATACATGAAAGCCATAATCTTGGGAGGAACTTTCAACTACATGCAAACGTCGTAGCTAATTTTCTTCCGGAGGTATAAAATTTCGAAGCTCGAGGTTCACAGGGTACTCTGCAGAGTCGTCAATTTCAGACCGAAGCATGCACGTCGTAATCTATGTTTCTATTTATTTTATGGAGGGTTTACATAATGTTCACCTAACATCAAGACGATCATACTTTTATACCAAATAATTAACGAAACGCGCCAAGTAAACACGTTTTAAAGACATATTCAAAAAAGTTATTTACCAACGAAGTCCTTTATACAAAACGATGCACGAGAAATCAAAATGATCAGCTTGAAATTCATTTGATGAATATATATGTAAATATGCTTAGCCATTATTGTAGCTTTGTAAGTCATGCAGAAACGCACCTCACTTCTCTAATAGTAACAAAATTGCATATCAATATTTAAGAAAAAAACAGAAACTTATTTTTTTTCAGTTTTCTTTAGACCCTCCTTCACCGTTTAGAGTGACTTAGACTAACTTGCGATGGCAAAACATTGAGTAACATATGACCTCCAGAAGAGAAAAACGACAACAAACCTTCGTTTAATTTGTGCTAGCTTGTCTTCGATGTATGAGCTTTTCCACATGACGTCGGCTCTAACGATACATTTTTTACAACCTACAAAGGCTATAGAGGGGTTCTGTCCATGTAATTTTTCCACGGCTCAGCCTCTCATCATGCTGATCCCTGTACTTGAAACGTATGCGTTTTGTCATCTGTCATAATTACGGTAGCGTGCATTCGGTATGCACCATTAACCCCCCCCCCCCCCCCTCCAAAAAAAAAGGGAAAAATTTGTTTTCATTAAAATTGGGCAAAACTTAAAAAATAAACACACACACACACACACACACACACACACACACACACAAAATCGAAGTTGTCCCTGAATAAAAGAGGCCCAAGTTTCACCTAAAAAAAGTTTATCTACTTTTTTTTTGCATTGCTTTAGAACGTTAGCTTTACTGAACGGTCTATGAGGTCGCTTCTTTCTTCGGGAATCACACTCCTTACGTCGTTTGCTTTTATCGTTGGTACCAGGACTTTTTTTATATTTATTTTTTTAAACATTTGGGTCACACGCATGCTCCCTGGAGGTTGGATGACCACAAGCCCGTGTCCTACTTTCTTAAAAAAAGAAGAAAAAAACTCGATACACACCGATCTGTTTTTGTCCAACGCCAAAAAGTTGTTTTTGACAAGCACTGCATCTTTGCCCTAAAATGAACAACCATAAAAACACCCCCAAATTTGAAAAAAAAAACTTACCCCGAAAACACAGGGACCCTATCATAACACATGTCAAATACACGAACATAAAGCCGGAGTGACACTCCTCTCTCACAACGCACAAAATACATACGATGTTAGCTGCAGACATGACGAGATAATTAACTGCCCACACGCCTGACGCATATTCGAAACGTCTTGCTTCGTACGTTTCTGAGTGACCAATGTAGCGGGGTCGCCATACAAGGCAGAAACATGCATCAGACAGTGTCCCCACAGGGTGCCTTTTCTATGACGCATTCGAAGTGTGAGCGCGGCTTAGCCTGTGCTTACTCTGCACGTTGTGGGGCTGGTTCCTCCGGGTAGTCCACCGGGAAAGCGGCCGGGCGATCCTTCGGGGTAGCGGTCAGGGCCTCCAGGGTACGCTCCGGGAAGACCTCCTGCCGGGCGTCGGTCGGGAAACACGCCTCCGGCTGGGAGTCGGCCGGGAAGACCTCCTGCCGGGCGTCGGTCGGGAAACACGCCTCCTGTCGGGAGTTGGTCGGGGAGACCTTCTGCCGGGCGTCGGTCGGGAAACAGGCCCCCTGTCGGTAGTCGGTCGGGAAGACCACCTGTCGGGTTTCGGTCGGGAAATAGGTCGCCCCCTTTCCCTGGGAACAGCCCTGGGAATCCTGGGATGCCGTCGTCGTCGGCGTAGAACTGGCCGTTGGCGAGAACTGCTGAAAAGACAAGTAGCGCGCGGTATGAGCGATGCAGTCAGCCCGATGCGGGGCTACTCCCTTTGTTTTTTACAACTTCCGCTAGTCGTTTTCTGCCCGCTTCTACATTTGTGCACTGGGCTGTAGAACGCGTTCTGAGCATGCGCGGTAAGTGTCTTCCGCGGAAAATCAAGAGCTGCGAATGCGTGCGCAGAACTGTGACTCAGTATTATTTTTTTTACTGGGTGATAAACAATGGAAACATGTTTAAGTACCATTAAAGTCACTAGATCCTAGGAAAGTAGCACGATTGCCTTCCCTGCCTACCTGCCAGCCGGACACGAAAACGCACTTCTTCTTTAAGTCGGGAGAGAGATGAAAGCAGACGGTCATTATCTGTTTTTGACAAACCTACAGACGTCCACAGCTCGCAAGAAGATTGGCTGATCGGTTTCAGTTGCCATGGCAATCGTCATTTTGGTCCATTCAAATCTTCGAAGATCCAAAAGGGTCGTTCTGAACCAGTCGCGCCAAGATCGCCATGGAGTATCATCTTACTGAAATTGTTCCTCGCAGATATAAGCATCTCTGGCACTTTGCATTAGATCAGCTTATCAATCAAGCTAATTTCTCTCCACAGATCTCTTTTAAAATGGTATTGTTGTTCTTGTATATTGCAAGACGGGGAAATTATTTTTCAATACCGCCGAGCACCGACGCGGCATTGGTAGCCGTGCGAACATGTCCGCCTAATTCTTTGGTGTGTGGATAACAAAATCTTGGTATTCAAGAAATATCGTAATAAAGCAACTTGTCACCGGGCATTCGGAACGGCTCACCAAGGATGTAGATGTCAAGAAGAATGCTCATTCCATGAACCGAAATGGCGACCATGAGGGGAGCTCGGCGTTACATTCCCAGGATTCAGGGGCTTTAAGTTCAATCAAACATTGCCACATAACTATACCTCGACAATACTTGCTCATGGGTGCACCCATTGAACTCACACTTACTCTCAGACGTGAGGTGATGATGAACGGGTTTGCAAACCACCTATTAAATACTTGAGCAAGAGTCTGAGTGAGCTCACGAGTTTTGTGAGTTCATGAGGTCGTGAAAGAATAGTTGAATGTGAGTGCGACTGTGAGGATGTGGGTGAGTGAGTTTTGAGTTGGTTTATAAGGTGACTCTGACTTAGGGAATGGCTATTCTGATTTTGAGCTGGTTTTGAGTTTGAGTGAGTTGAGCTAAAATTCTGTCATCTGTATGCACTCGGCGTGCTTGAATAGCAGTTTTGTAGGCACAATTCGGAACTCTCTGCGGTACGACGAAAGGAGAAGAGGGTGGAGAGGAGGGTCTCTTTGATGTTTTTACATACACTTAACCCTCTTCAGGGAAGCGATAGAAGGACCTGACAGTACTATAGCAAAAGCCAGCACTGTAATTTTAGTTTAAACTAAAATAAGATTGAAAAATCTATAATTTGGCTCAATGAAAAAAAAGAAAAAAAAACACTGGCGAGTTTGTTTTTTTAGGAAGTAGGGTAGAGTTTTTTTTGGGGGGGGGGAGAGGGAGGATTTGTAAAAGTAAAACTTGTTTTGCCCAAATAATAACAAAAAAGCCTTATATATCATGGTTTATACAGGTTGTATATCACATTGTGCCCACCAAACTTAACTATTATTGAATTCTTTGGCATGTATACTAGATAATAGATCACGAGTTTGTGTTCTTTTTTGTTATCTCAAAGAGAAAATTGAAAACTTAATTTTGAGACAAAAAGAAGTTATTGATACAAAAACTTGAGGTCAATGCAAAATCTTTTGTTCCCCAGTACGGCTATCCTGAAAATCCAGAAGCGATTCGCGAAAATGCGGATTCGACTACATCCGCTCGCATCATTGCATCCACCGGTTACGCTACTTGGAAACAGGAGGGGCAGGAATGTCGGTGCATCTGACGAATCGCAGCTCCTCTTTGACGACGGGAAACGAGGCGGCTCTAAATTCCGCTTCAGTGCAGGCGGCTGAGGGAAGCCAAGACACGTGGCTAACTATCCCCTCCTCTTGTCCAGAAAAAAAAGAAGCCTGTTTTAAATTACGAGAATTTGAGATACGTTAGCTATTCCAATTCTTATTTTCTCTCGAAGCATGCGAATAGTAAAGAAAGCAGGAAAAGTAGCCGATACCAGTTTTACACGAGAGGAATTTTCTGGCACGAGGGGTTCATGATGAAACATTTCTCTTTCTTTTCGGTTTATTGTTTAAAGTAGCGCCATTAAATAAGCTACGCTTCAGAGTAACGACACTTGGCCATATTGTGGCTTAAGATCATGGTTACCAGTTATCTGTAGCTTTATCTGAAATCACAATAAACGCTTTTTTGTCCTCCACGTATGTTTAAACAGTTCGCGACAGAGTAAAGCAGTATTACATGAGCTTCGTAACACCGAACTTAATGCTGAGGAAGTCGCACTTTTGAATCATGACGATCGACAGTTGCGTCTGCTCTGCATACGAGCCAAAATGGCGGCGGCCACAACAATGTCGGGGAATGGAGTGCCGATACTCTAAGCACAGCTCATTTAGTGGCTCTAGTTTAAAGTGTGCGCAAGCTGCAGAATATGTAGGCGGATCGGTGGACCGCAGCTCGAGGCACGGGAAGCGAAAAATAGTGCTGTAGGAAAGAAGAATCCTGGGTTCGTCCCTACCTGTGGCTGCTTCGATTTGAAATGCACTTCGTGACGGCGTGCGGTAGCGTATCACTACTGCATGATGCACATTAAGAACCCCAGGCTAGCAGTACTGCACAAGCCAAGTTTCTCATCTACCTGTGTCGCGATACCTCAAAGGCAGACCAAAAAACATGGAAAATAATACGTTATGCTCAGTGTCACAGGGCAGACTTGATTTTTTCAGGTTTCACATATTTTCAGTCTCGCCATTTTCAATAGCTTGCAGCAATCAGCTTTTCAATCTCTTTTTCTTTTCTTTTTTTCCTCAGAAAGTAGGCACTCCAGATTTCTCAAAGTGATACTGTGATGGCGGCAATATATATATATATATATATATATATATATATATATATATATATATATATATATATATATATATATATATATATATATATATATATATATATATATATATATATATATATATATATATATATATATATTTTTTTTTTTTTAACTTGTCATGTGCCTTTGACTTAGCTTTAAAACTCTCTCCTTATTTTCTGTCCGGACTTCGGAGTATCTTTCTGGGAACTAGCGGTTCGAGAGAATTATTTTAGGAAGTCCTTTCGTTGGCGTGAGTAAATCACCGAAAAGAAGAAAACAAAGCAGTTTGGCTATATCTATACATGCTCTGCGCAGAACTAGGAAGAAGATGGGACTTAAGTGAAATAATTGGAGGAGTTAAGCATGCGACGCTCCACTTACCCAAAAGCAGGAACGTGAACAAGTAGATCAAACTTCCGCGGTTCATGTTGCCTGTCAGCGATCGAGCAAGTCGACGGTCTTCCCAACGGTGCGTCCTTCCCCTTCGTCGACGACGGCGAAAGTGGCGGCGACGCTTATAGAGACTTCTTGCCTCCGGGATACGCAGGTTTCCAGGAAGGTGCCCTCACAATCTCCGAGGGACGTTGTCGTCCTTGAACTCCGGAGGATCTTGACTCGAAACAAATAGGCGGCGGCAATAACCGAGCCAAGTCTCCGAATAACGTTTTGCTTATGCGGCTGTTTTGGTGAGTTGCGCTGTTTATCTCGAAGCTACTGGCTGACTGCACGTATAATGGGGAATGAAGCGAATGGACCTTGTCATGCATTATTCAAGAATGATTATGTTACGTCACGTGTGGGACTAACTCATATTTGGAGGAGTCTTGAGCAACCCTTTTATTAAGGGAATTCTAAGAACGTCGGTCACGTGACCCCAGAGGAGTGGCTTTATTCTCTCAGAATACATGGGGGTATATATTTTGGTGCCATTCTGAGACCACCCGCTTGGTTGTCTCTAACGTGAACGGCAATTAATATTTACTGGTCCTTTGAGACGGCGATTATAGCCCGTAGTAGGGACGCGACGCTGACAACCCCAATTAAGCAGCGCCTGCTTCATTACTAGATTCAGTAAATCAGATAGTGGACCTACCATGCGATTGCAAGGTCAATAAAGCTTGAATTTGAGAGTATTGCGTGACATATCGACTGATATTCTTTTAGAAACTTATCTAGAAATAATAATGACTCCTGCATAGAGCTGGACATAAATAAATAACAAAATGGTATAGTGTGTTGTTTGGTTTTATTGCTACCTTCTTACCTGAGCCCATTCTGAAACATTTCAGAGCAAGACACTTAAAAATGTTCCTTCCAGAGGGAGGCATTGGGAGTACAACATAATATTACATATTAGTTGAATCAAACAAATCTTCACAAAAATATTTCTTCTTTTCCGTGTCGTGCGCTCGTTACTGCTGAGTTGGATTGTTTTTTTTTTTTGTTTTTAAATTCATCCGGTGACGGCTGCATGCTTAGTTTGCGAGTGCTTTTTAATCTTTTTGTGGATTTATGTTTGGAATTTATCGGCTTTACGTGTTCGCTCGTGTAAATGTCTCGTGCTACGATTTTTACCGAAGTTATCCAGGGAGTTCTAGGATTCGAAAATCGTACAAAGCCGCATTTCACTCTTTTATTATCTATGGAAAACGAGGCAACTCAAACTACACTCTAAAAAAAGCCCGTGCGCGTTTGAAGTTCTAAGTTCTCCTTTCCCGCACAACAATCGAAGAGCCAATCACGGGAACTTACGGAGTCAGATCAGCGAATAACGATACGGAAACATATGTTTATACCAAAAGACGCAAACTGAGTTGTGACATTAAGCAATGGAAAACGTCACGCTTGCATTGCTTAATGTCACAACTCAGACCGTTTTTTGGTCTAAACATATGTTTCGGCTTCGTCATTCGCTGAGCGGCCTCCGTAAGTTGCGGTGATTGGCTGTCCGAGTGTTCTGCGAGAAAGTAGACGCACGGGCTTTTTTTAGAGTGTAGTCCTCGTGTTTGACAGGCAGTAGCAAACGCAGCAAGGAACAAGACCACCCATTCTGCCGTGATCCAACGTTATGCGCAGTTCTACAATGTATAGAGTAATGGTTTTCGAGTGTGTCCAGTGCCTTCCTTATATTTTCTAATGTTTGTGCAATGTCTATCAACTCTATCGTCCCCTACTCGTTCTATCTTAGTTCGCTATCAAATAGCGATTCTCAAATCCTCGCAATCACAAAACGAATGTGCATTTTTATAACATCAACCGCGCGGTTATAGTTCTTTCCCCTGAATAATAACCGTATTGCGCAATATGCTCAAGCACGAGCTTCACAATTTCAATTCTTCATGCCCCTTGAACTCGCCCCCCCCCCCCCCATTTTTTCACTTTCCCTTGCGCGAGCTCAATCTACGCATCCTAAGTATTCAGGAAAACCAAAAAATTACAATCACGCGTGACCTTTTTCACCCATGAAAACGCGATAAAACACCGCGACACGCCCTTTATGTTTTTTTAGAGAGTTCGCGCCATAAAAGGCGACGTGAAAACCCAACTTAATGCCCCTTTAAGAGAAAACCTTAGCTAAGCCTCACATCAGGGCTTTGCCTGACAAACTTGCTGAAAAACCAACCACACTGCGATACAGTGGTGTAAGTCACCTGCGGTTACTTGCCACTGCCATAAACAGATATGAATCTAGCTTCATGGAGCAACAAAATCAGCGGTGATAAGCTCATTCACTAATGAAATCAGAAAAAAGATCGGAAAGGTGTGACTTCCAGTGTTCCTATTCCTATAGGGAGTATTCACTGGCGGCCATATCCGTGTGCGCTGCTGCTGAGCGCGTGCTGACGGCGTGCTTCCGCAGTCCTTTTGGAGCGTGCGTTTAGCCCCATCAAGGTTGCCGGTCTTAGCAGGTTATAAACGTGAGCTCGTTGTGAGCATGCGCTCTAAACATCGCCCTTAAATATGGCGTCCAGTGAATACCTCCTATTGCTTATTAACCACGCAAGCAGCAGTGGCGCGTATCACGTGTTCGTCATATGATAAAATGACAACGCGTCCATAAACATAGGTTCAATTTCCATCCTTGCGTCCGACTGATATACAACATTGGCGACGAGGCGGACCGGACCGACGAGGCCGCTGCCGAGCAAGGCCAGCAGGGCCAGGAAGGCGGAATGGCTTTCGGCAGGATCGGCGAGTATCGTCTCGGCACGACCGCGTCTTGGGATGAATACGTCGAGCGGCTGGAAATGTTCTGCAAAGCGAACAAGATAGCGAAGGAAGATCAGAAAAGAGCAGTTTTGCTGAGCTCTTGCGGCGAAGGGGCGTACGGGCTCATCGTAACTTTGTGAGGCCCACAAGACCGACAACAGCAACCTACGAAGAAACCAAAGCTGCGGTTCACAAGCACCTGCATCCAAAACCTTCAAGAATGTATGCAAGACTTTTGTTCTAAAGAAAAAATCAGGCTACCAAAACACCTTCAACAATGTATGCAGGACTTTTGTTCTACAGAAGAAACCAGGCTACCGAGGAATCGGTTGTGGACTACGTCACGGCGCTTAGGAAGCTAGCCGAAGACTGCGGCTTTGGCGACGAGCAGCTCCCGTGCGACGTCATGATGCGGGACCGTTTCTTATGCGGAATCAAGAACGAAGCAGTCCAGCAGCGACTTCTAGCTGAACACCACCTTACGTTCAAGGTAGCATACAAGACCGAGACGAGACAAAGGACGGCCGGGGTCTGACACAAGCAACCCTCACAAGGGAAGACACCAAGGCGGAGGAATCCCTATGATACCACTGCAACGGTAAGCACGCTTCGCATTTATACAGTTTTAGAAAAGCGGGATGCTTCAAGTGCAAAAAGGTGGGGCATATAGCAAGGGCCTATCGTTCGAAAGACGAGAGTAGAACGTCCCAGAAGAAGACGCACGAACAGAACAGGAAAGGAGATAAGAGCAAGGGCCGGTACGAAATGAGTGCCTTATTTTTTCTCTGTGAAGTGAATAAACAAGAAAAAAAGTACATGGTTCCAGTACAGATTGAAGGGCAGGAGGTCCCGATGAAGGTTGATTCCGGAGAATCTTGCTCAATTGTGAGTTAATGTACGTTTCGCCAAATCGAGGCAAACCAAGGTGAAATACTGCTGCGAGAAACTGGCAAAACACTCGTAACCTGGTCAAAAGGGGCGTTACCTGTGATGGGAAGAGAAAGCGTTTTGGTGGAATTCAAGCGCCGGAAGGCAAACCTGCTTTTGTTGGTAGTGAATTAAGAAGCATGGCAACAATTTGTTTAAGCGAAACTGGTTTAAGCCTTTAGTAATTGGGTTGTGTGGAATTAAGCAACTAAAGATAGAAGACGTGTCTTCACGATTTTCTGAGGTGTTTCGCAGTGACCTTCCTGGCTTCAACGGACCACCAGTTCACCTCGAACTGAAAGATGACGCCCAAACGACGTTTCACAAGAGTCTCCCAGTTTTACAAGCCCTCAAGGACGACGTGGCCAAGGAAGTGGATCGCTTGGTGCAACAAGGAGTATGGGATATAGAGCCTGTAGAGTGCTCCAACTGGCCAACACCGCTGGTTTTGGTAGGGAAAAAAGAGTGGGCATTACGCCTGTGCGGCGACTACCGTAGCACCGTAAACAAAACTATTGAAAACAGCGGGTATCCTTTGCCCACTACCGCGGAAATGCTCGCAGCTATGGGTTCAAGCAAGGTTTTTTTCAAGCTTGACCTCGCTCAAGCTTATCAACAGCTTACGCTAGACCACAAATCGTCCGAGGTACTTACAGTCAACACGATAAAAAAGCGGTTTAAGGTCCGGCGGCTGCCGTTTGGAATTTCGATGGCGCCGTGGGTGTTTCAACGAGTCATCGACAAGTTGCTGGCGGACTTTCCTGGTGTGAAAGCTTATCTTGATGATATCCTGATTTCCGGATGCAATGCGGAAGAGCACGCCGAAAGACTGGAGACCGTGCTGTCGCGTCTGCAAAACGCAAAGTTCAGAGTACAGAAGGGTGCGAATTTAACCTGACGAGCATTGAATTCTTGGGTCACAGGACTGATTCCGCAAAAATACATCCGATCCGAAGCAAGACGGACGCCATCCAGCAAGCACCTTCACCCACAAAAAAAGAAAAAGCTACAAGGCTTTTTAGGATTATTGAAATTTTACAGCGGTTTCCTCAAGGGCAAGACTGAAGCGGCGAAACCACTGTATCGACTGCTGGACCACGACCAGGAATGGAAATGGGCAGGTGAGCACCAGCGTGCGTTTGAGGGGCTGAAAAAGCCGCTTAGCTCCGACGCTGTACTTGTTCCTTATGACCTCAAGCGTCCTTTGATTTTGTCCTGTGACGCATCTCCTGTAGGGGTAAGGGCAGTCCTGGCCCATAATGCAGTTGACGGAAAGGAGCAGCCCACGGCGTATGCTTCAGGTACTCTCAGCGCAAGTGAACGTAACTATGCCCAAATTGACAAAAAGTGTTTTGCGGTGG